GAGACTCGTGTCCATATTCGATAAATTTTCTGTGTCTGAAATATCTTCATATTGTGGATCTTTTACAACCGTTACATTGAACAGCTCTCCACTGCTCACTTTATTCAAAGGAAGAGATGCGCTTAAACAAGCCTGTAAACACACACCAGTTGTATCCTCTTCAGCATTTTTATAGCTTGTTTGGTTGCGCACCGATTGTTCACTTTGGTACATAGAGACTCGCGTTTTGCCAAGCTCAGTTTTATCAGTTAATGAATCTAGGCTGGAAAGTGCAACTGCATCCTTAGATTCAACATGGCAGTAGTGTTGGTCTTCAATTTTCTGAAGTTGGTTTACATTTTTATCTTGATTTCCACCAATCACACAAGGCCCACTGCCTAAACCTACTCCTTCAATTGGTTTGAGGCTAACATCCTCCCTCTCCCAACTCACATTCTTGGATAACAAAGGTAGAGTGCCTGGTGTTTCTTTGAGTCTCTCACGCTCTCCTTGTGAGGAACTGCAGCGGACCGTTAATCCTGGGTACTTCTCAGTCTCTTCTGGCACGGTGACCCCAGACACTGCTGTCACAGTCACTGGACTCTCTGCTTCATTCTTTGTGCAAGTGGCAGCAACATCCAACATGACATGTTGATAATCTGTGGACGTAAAGAGATGAAAGTTACTTATGTCGCCACTCCAGGTTTGTTGCAGTGTGATTCAGAAAAGTTGTCCAGCTCTGCAATTCGTTTTACATTCTTCAGTCAAGCATTTGGATTCTTTGGTGCAGGTACTGAATAATTAGGAGTGGTTATACATTATTTCATCAACACTGGCATTTCTTTTACCTTCAGTTATCAGAACATGACTGACAACCCTTTACAGACATAATTCGATCCAAGCAGATGCATTTTGGGAGAATGTTTTAAACTTTATACAGCAGAGATTAGTGTACCTTTTAAACAGTTCTCTGATGCAGATGTATCATAATTCTTGTTAGAGCTGGGAAATAATTCTGTTCCTTTGCTGCTTTTCAACCCGTCTTGGTCAAGAGGTTGTCCAGTGCAGTGTTGAATCCCAGAAGCGTTGGAAGTCTCTTTCTTCTTTACGTCTGACTTGTAAAAGGCAATCTCTTTATTGATGAAGTCAAACATTTCATCTGTCCATGATTTGGCTTTCTCAACTTCAAAATCTTCACATTTTGTTGGTTGACGGCTGTGAGGATAAGGAGAGATCTTCCGCTGTCGTTTCCTCTTCAGTCCACAGTTTGTTGAATTTCTCACTTCTTGATTCTTACAATGTTGTTCATCTGAAATATCAGCTCCAATATCAAGTTCAACATTGGAACCCATTTTGTCTCTTGAAGATGATGAGGTGGTAATTAAGGATCTACAACAATTGGCATGATGTGGACACCTTGCTCTTAAGCCCTGGAGAGCATACATCCTGCAAAAACAATGTAAACCAAAATCTGGGTTATAGTTATACAATTACACACACACACACACACACACACACACACACACACACACACACACACACACACACACACCATTTGTTAACAGTTTAAATGGCCAACATGGAGACAAATGCCACCAGTCTCCATTTAAGATGAGGGCAGTGAACCCGTCTGTGCCTCCTGAAGCCCATTAAGAGTTATTGTTTTAAAGATGATCAGCTTCAGTGGACAAGTTCTCTACCTCCGCCCTGTACACA